GTGCTTATTTATTCCAAATTGCACTCGAAATCATGTGATTACCTATACAAATAGCACTCCACTCATATCAATTACCATTAGATATGTCCTGCCAGTCAACGAGGCATCTGCAGCTTATTTGAGAGCGAATTGGAAAGCGCTATTGAAACTACTTGGAAGGAACGCTCCTTTCTGTGTTTTTAACCTTTTTTTAAACGCCATATCATGCGTCGGTGAGAAGAAACAAAAAATTTAGCACCGTAGGAAAACAGGATTAAGAGAGCCAGTCCCCCCAAAAGACATTCTGTACTAATGATCCCAATTTTCATGACATGAATTTATTAAGTTTCCTTTATAAGTTTTCCAGCATTGTCTCTAATCTGTGGATAAATACTCTTTCTTTGATTATCGTGTTATCATCACTTTTCGTTATTACCCTATTCGAAATTATTTCCATTTGTCTTTCTGAAATATCTATACAAACACCGAAGCGGGTTTTTAGCGCGTAATTTTGAGCTCATTTTCGCGACATTGTCCACATCAGCTCAAACCTGCAAATACATTTTTTGTGGTTTAACACTTTTTCTTTATGGACTAATAAAAACTTTCTGGTTTAAGCCAGCACGAGAACGCCTATCGAGGCATTGAAACTATTTTTATCATTGTCTTTTAATTTTAAGATTAAAGACGCTACATCATATTTTTTCAATTTCGAAATAATTAGCTTAAATATTTGAAGTTAATTATTTTCAATCTTCCCCGATCTTCGCAATCATTGTTTATCATCTTTTTTGGTATATTCTCACCTCTTAGGTTTTTATTTACAAGGATTATTTTTTAGTCTTCTTCTATGTACACTGAATTTTCTTCATATAACAAAATCGTTCGAAAAACTGTGCTGGAGCTGCTTAAAGCAAGGAAAACTCCCTCGCCCAACTCTTGTTTCTTATGCTGTATTTTCTGCAGTACTTTCTTCCTCTTTCTCCATTCGGTAGTGATCCCAGCAAAGGACTTTGTTGTTGTAAAAATGGAAGTTTTCTCCAACTCTGAACCTCTGTCTGCAAATCTGACAGGAGAAGCACTCGATGTGATATGCGTTTTTCGCGGCCCTCATTACAAATTCGAAGGCTGCTATTGGCTTGTTACATGCAGCGCACACACCGGGGACACCAAACAACCTGTAGGCAGAACAATATCGGTAACTATAATTGTTAATCAGGGCCGAAAGAGTATCCTCTACGTTGTTATTTGACCCACTAGACACAGTATGTTTCAATTTCATGTTAGGGGTGATGAAAACATGTTATGTAGTTGAGAATTCCTGTCACAATATTGAGTTAGTTTAAGGCTGTGCTAAACTGAGTTTTTTTGCAAGGCGACCTTACATTAATACTCAGCGGGTATTAAGGGAAAAAAACGAGGAAATGTTGAACCAGCGAAGAACGACTTGAAACACAAAGTTTGAAAACTGTGGCTTCGCGCTCGGTTATGCGACCACAGTTTCTCCGAATGAAGTGACGTGTTTTTTTTGTTTGTTTTGTTTTGTTTTGCTGTTCTTCTCAAAAGAGAACTATATTAATATAAGAACCTTTCTGTTTCAGTTACAAATTGTAGCCCATTCGGCTATCGTCCTCAGTCATCGCTCTTTGTCTCAAAAATTTCACTTAAACACTAACATTTCATATGCTGGTATGAATTCTGATGTCAGAATTTAAGTAGACTTCTTTTCTTCTATAAAAACGGTTCGGTACCAGCTGAGACAGTTATTGTTTAATTTCTTCTTTTCAATAATCACTCTGTTCCCTAATATGGTAAAGGACATATCCCTAGATCCATGTTAAATTTAAGAAGTCCTATCGGTGAGCTGACTCTTGTCTGAACAATGGTTTCAAAACGTGGTCTAAGCCCTTTACATTGCCACACCCCTGTGAGCCAACCGGCTGCGAGTGGTAGCGATCTCATCTTTGATATCTGTTTTAAATAGGAGCAATCAACGTCATTCAATAAAGAACCAGGGTCATCAATGTCCTCGATTCATAGAAGTTAAGTGTTCCGGAATTTTCTCAATCGCTTTGGTTAACCTAGGCTCCATTTAGACTGAGAAAAAATATTTAGGGGAGGCTAATAAAATGCAGTTCGAAAGTTCATCTATTGGCGAGAACAGTCAAAAACAGGTTCAGGAAATAAACCGTTTAGCCACGGTTTGCCAACGCAAAAACTGTATAAAAACTAACCTGATGTTTTAGTGAAAGATTTAGGTGTCTTGGTATTAGAAAATGTTCCTTTTTCTTCATTTCTCTTTTTTTACAGTGTGTGCAACACTAATTTTTATTTGAACTAGTATTCAAGTAACAGTGTTTTGATTAACTTCGTTGGTGGTTGCGAGCGAGACCAAAACATTGCTACCAATTAAATTCATTATGAACCAAGCTGCACTTGGTTACTAGTTAATTTTGAACTTTGAAATGGAATCGTCTTTACTGACCTTAAATAGTCTCTCTTGCAGAGAATGAGGTTCGCTTTATTGTAAAGCGTCGATCCAATATCACCAAGTTTGCACTCACAGCAGTTGCATTTTAAACAACCTTCGTGCCAATAAAGTCCCAAAGCTTCCAACAAGTAGCGATCTGTAATTGGCATTTTGCAGCCGCTGCAGAGATGAGCGTTTTGCTCTGTTTTTACAAGGCTCTTGTTCTCCGTGGCTAGGTAGAGATGAAGTGAACAGAATTTTACCAAAATAATCACTCAGGTTACATCAACGTCAAACAGCTAAAAATTTGTATGTTTTGTATGAGTGAGTGTGGTTTTTAATGCGATTGAGGATTTGTCTTTATTCGTTTTTGTTCATGCCATGCACGGTAAATGATTTTGTGATATGTTCCTCTTCGTCTACTTTGAGACGCCAGTTATTTACGCCGTCGAGCTTAGCATTACCTCGTGTTTTTAACATTTAATTCCTGTTACTCGATTCATTCTGTCATGTGGGATCACGTACAGAACAAACCAGGTAGATATTTGATATAAATTTAGTACATACCCATGATGTCAGGCTGTGTCAAGATTTGTCTTTCCCTTCTCTCGAACGAAAAGTGGTTTTCAACGCGCATACAACGAAGTTAATGTCGACAAGAAGTTTTCAACCAGCGATTTCTTGTAAAACCATTGTCTTCCGGTATGTCATCAACAGTGTTCATTGCTAATGATATCTGGCGGCGACCTAACAAAAACACTGTTATTTCGGCGCGTAATTACCTCTAATGACGCGACTCTTTCTATTGGCCAGAGTAGACGAAATAGAACAGGTATCCATGAGTAGGGAAAAGAAAACCATCGCAATTATCGAACGCGATAAGCAAATTGAAAAATGGAACGGTTAACCAAGCATATATTCCTGTCATTAAAATCGGCCCTGTTTCTTACTTTCAGAGGTTAATCAATATGATGGTAAAAACGAAAAAAATCAGGATATCCACATGGCTTAACGAGACTTTTAAAAGGACGTCTTAGATGCGGTTTTTAAAATCGAAAAAAAAAAACAGCACTCGCAGGATTAATCTCTCAGGATAAGAGAATAGACACTAATTGGCCAGCTGTCCGTAGTTTGCATGCAAATTCTTAAAGGTAATTACTATCAAGTTTTGTTTTATATCGCTAATGGCTTCTCTTTTATTTCTACGGAAAACAGTTTCAATTGCAGCAAAAAACTTGTAATTAGCCACTGCTAATTTGCCCAACACCCGGGATTGAAATTTGGCAAACAATTTCTCGATATTTCAGTTTTTGTAAACCTTTCTTCCCGGATGAAATTATGTCTGGTATTTAATCAAACATTTTCCCCTTACTCTAGAATTAATATTTGAGAGCTTTAGGGCGGAGAAATTTTTTAGCCTCTACTTGTAATTTAGACAAGAGCGACTTATTAATTGCTCGTTCATTATGAAGAGAATAAAAAGCTTTTTAAGATGAATAAAAGCGAAACTATCCTTCGCCACAAGCTGATTTACACGGGTACCAAAATTAGAACAATGACTTAAAAAAACACCGCAAACAGAAATGGAAAGTTTTACGTTATTTGGCAGAGTTTTTTGTTAATGTTTGTCAAGAAATCAAATATTACCTACTGCACTTTATCTTGATCAATTTCTGATTCCTAAATAGAAGAATATCGAGAAAGAACTTTCCACTTACGAGCTTATCACCCTGTAAAAAGCTTATTTGTATTATAACTGCTTTCCTCTCAGTGTCTCAGTGACTAAATGTAATCATTAATTTATCTACAGCCTCAATCCTTATTTTATTTTTCATCCTTGTGGGCAAATATCCTGCTTGAAGTCTGAGATATCTGTGTTCAGTACCCCTCTCGTCAGGTTCAACCTCTTTGCATTAAAACGTGTCCAACTTTATCTGACCCACTAAAAAAATTGTCTTTTGACCAACACGAATTAAGATCGAACAACGTTCGGTCTCTGTTAAATTATGTATTGATACAAGTCTCCGATTTTCATAGCCACTCAAAGATTCATTCAGTTTACGAAAATAAACATCGGCTTTACAGGGAAAGCTGGCGGACTTAAAGCAATATTTTTTTTTATTCAGCCAATTGTGGGTCCTTTTGTACATAAGTCTAACAGAATGAGAGAGAAATTCATTGGTACCTGTAACTCAAATACCAAACCTTTGCGACGTTCACTTATCAAGCGTTACACTGAAATTGAAATGAGTCCTCTAAAAACCGTTACGCCATTTCAAAATTCCTCATAACAACTTGGATCCAAATTTAGCGCAGAAAAAGAATCATGGTTTTTTTTAGGGATCTGTGAGCAAAAAATTGACTCAAGAAATGACTGTAAATTGTTTTGACACGCGTGCACAGGACGAAGGATATCAATTTGACCTCGTGACAAAGATTTCAATGTAAGCCATGTAGAAATAACATTAACGCTTTGCTTTCAAGTTACGCCGAACTTGCGCCGCGATGTTCGGTTCACAAAAGCGTTGTGAAATGTTTAAACAGAGCAAAAATAAAAAAGTTTCTAGGCCTAGTTTACTCACGATATAAGCACGTATTTTCAGTTTTGTTGCAATATATCAGGCATCCTGCAGACTCACTTCCTATGTACGGCAAGGATGAGAAATTTCGACAGAGTTATCTTTATTCTTGATTAACCTCAGTCCTATTACAAATTGATACAATGCACTGATAACCTCACAGTCTGAAAATGCCTGAATCCAAGGCCGCTTTCCTTATGTTACAATTGAGCTCTCCGTGAAATAAAATATTGCAACAAGAAGAAATGAAATAAAAGACCTGGTTCTGACCGAACTGACTGTAACGCTCCACAGATGAAGATCCAAGGTGATTTAAATCTTTCTGGCATACGGACATGCGGGAGGGCTCAACTCACACAGCCCTACCTGCAAGGAACGGACTTTTTCACCTCCTGTTTTTATTGCCGGGCAAGAACCAGTCCCTTCAGATCGGCCAGACCTAAAGGACGGTAGCGTCCTGGGATCGGGAAATCACCTTGATATGTACTTGAAGTTCCTTTCTGTCTTTAAATTCTGTTCATTTGAATGAAATAGGAATTCCACTCACAGAATGTGAAGATTAAGTGATGATCATCCATCAGTTTTTATGGCTCAGAGAAAGTCAAAATTAACAGGTGTCCTGGATCATACAATAAGTCAAATGGCATAACTTATGAGATTAATAAACAAAATCAACCCCACTCCCCTCCCCCTTCCTCTCTCCTCTCCATAGAAAATCGGAAAAGGCAAATTCAAACCCTTTTTCGAGGGAGATTCATTCACCGCGATGTTAACTTGCTATTGCATTCTGTCATTTCTATTTGTGTATTGCTTTGTGAAGGGGGGGAAATACCATAATTAACTTCACTATGATCATCAGTCATTTTCCAACGCAACAAGTGTGAGTCTGTATTCTGTTTTTGTCTTTCAGCCAAGGCGCTTTCTGTGTGTGAAAGAGTCCAGTGCGGGAGTGGTTTTGTTTGTAATCCTAATGCCCCAAGGCGGCCTTGCGAAGGTAAGGTCGCGAAAAGGGTCAGATGATTTCAGTCCTTTCCTTGTTGATTAGTCAGGAGAGTTCAGCGTTGTATCAAGATTCCACCGACTGGCTTACAATGATCTTTTTAAATTTTGGTCATCTGTTTGCTGAATAATGGTAGTGTAGAGAGAAATTGAAATTTAGCCTTTTTTGCGTTGAGCCCATTGTCTTTTGAAAACGCTACTCCTCTGCAGTTTAGAGCAACATTCACTGCGAACACAAACGTCGTTATTCATCCCCATTTCCACCTTCCATTGCTCGGCGAAACTCCATTTGCATTTAGAATTTCACGTCACTGCACAATTAGCTGAATGGAAATCAGTCAGAGGTATTTTACCCTGGAAAATGACCTATAATGGCTTTATTTTTTAGATATCGATGAATGTTCACTATCGCCTCCCAAATGCAAAGCAGGCGAAGTATGTCTGAACTATATAGGCTCATACGAGTGTCGAGGTATGGTTAAATAAATTTCTTGTTGATAGGACTTTCCATTGTGTTTCGCATTTAGCACTCCCTTTTCTTTAAGTGAGAATTACTTGAAAAGCAAATGTGAGTTGAGAACTGAAAGTTTACAAACATTGACGGAGCAGTACGAACGTAGCCACTTTAAAGTCTGCTGTGAAGGTTACTCATCACTCCCTCTTTACTGCACATGGTTTTACGCGCGAGTTTTGCTTTGGTGTTTCTCGCGTGAGAAGTGCGCTGATTAGTGATAAATAGAGATGCAAAAGTTTTCTCACATATGGTTTTTAGCCAAAGACTAAAAAAAACTTCAGTCATTTTCACATCTAGTGAAACTCCAGCGCTCTACAAAATATAAATTGTTTTCTGTCATTTGTAGTTTGAGTATTTCTCTTAGGAAAATATGTCATTTGCGCATGATCAAAGCCACAAGCCACTCCCTTTCCCTTTTGTCTTCCTTTTTCCCGTGCTCACGCTCAACGATTTTACAGCAGCTCAGTCAATAATCAGAATCCCTCCAGTTGCTGCAGATTTCGGAAGTTTTTAAAAGTTAAATTTTTTTCAATTCCAGATTCCTGCAGAGGTGTCGACTGTGGCAAAGGGTTGAAATGTCAGGCATCTGGGAGGTCGTATAGTTGTACGGGTAAGGAAACATTTGCATCATTAGTTCTGCGCCTTATTACCATGACATAACGCTAAGTGATGGAAAAATAGAAAGATGAGACTTTGTTACGTCTCAGTTAAGCGGCTAGGTTGTTAAGTAAGATCTAATCTGACGGTGGCCGAAGGAAAAAGCATGACCGTCTAACGTTGAGTATTGTATCGGCGAATTCTTAAAAGCTCTCTCTCACTCTCGTTTTTTCAGATATTGACGAGTGCGCTACCTTGCCAAGGAGGTGTACGGGAGATCAGGAAATTTGCGAGAATTACTATGGAGGTTACCGATGCAAATGCCGAGATCGATTTCAGAGAAATTCCCAGACAAGGAGATGCGAGCGTAAGTTTTAATTCTGTTTCATGATGGGGGTTGGTTTGTGACTGCTACTGACTTGCCTCCTGTTGTCTTTTTACATATCAACGAGCAAATCACGCGAGAGGTGCGCGCGTTTAGACGGCAGGAAGGAGTCAGAAGTCAGTTCCTTGTTTTTCAACCCACTGGTTTTTTAGAGATTTTCACCGCGTCAGCATTGGCTGCGTTTGTTCTTTACTACGCTGATAATATTTGTACATATGACGAAGCTAAATGAATGGCACGACAGCTTGTCTGACTCACACGCTCAGATATCCTCATTTGAATGAGTCAGGTTGACTCCTGAAGACAAAATTTTCTGATGTAATTTACTTTTCTCCTGGTCTTTTTTTATCGAACCTTGGAACAAAACCTTTTTCAGCCTTTTAAGAGGATACAAATTTTCCATCCATGATCTAGGGCATGCTGTAACCAGTTTTTTTTTTTTTTTTTTACAAGTAGATTTTGAAAATGCATTTTGCTTCTTTGCATCACTATTTTGTCTTACAGGTAGAAATTCTTGTTCGTCGGTTAAATGTCCTCGGGGATACAAATGTCTGGTGATCGACGATCGCAATTATCGATGTAGAGGTAAAGGGTGATACTGTTAAAATAAATGCCATCTATTTGGTCACATATTACTAAATTTTAGATATTTGCAAATAAAAGACTTATGGCAAAATAAATATGTTCTATTTTATCGCGTTTTACTTGCCTTAATGTAACTGAATAGGAAAGGTTCAACGGGAAACGCGCTTTGGATATCAAAAGATCCCTTTAAAGATGAAAAATAATCCTCCATTTTGGATTACATCGAAAGGCATTAACAGCGTATTTGATTTCTTAAATTCCAAATGTTTTCATCAACTTGTAAATTTCACGATACTTGAGCCACTGATGAAAAACGTTTCTAAAAAATATTGAAACTCAACGAAAACGGAGTATAGTGGGGCTTATCCTATACAAGATCTTGATATTTTCATGTCTGTCATACTTTTTTATGATTTTTGCTGTAAGAACTGGCAGTTCAATCAAACAGTGTTCCCAGAATCATGATTGCCCCTCTCCTCATCATCTTTCTACTTGAAATGCACTAATAGTGTATGGAGAAGTTACATAGTTGTCACTTCCGGTGATGGAAAGGGTTTAAACGTCCGAAAGTTAGATTGTTTCGCATCTGGTGTTTTCAAAATTTCAGACATAGATGAATGCAGTGAGTCACCGCCTGTATGTCTGCCAGGACAAAGATGTGTTAATTACGCTGGTGGCCATTACTGCTCGTGTCGCAACGGATATCGACTGAACAGCATAACCAATAGATGTGAAGGTACGTGCACAGTAGACCCACTCCAGTTATTCCCGAGTTAAGCATATTGTTCATAATCACGCTTTTTACCCTTGACATCGGCCAAACCACCAACTTTTTAGTTTGAGTTTCATCCGTAGTCATTACCTTGCACATTTAGTGGATATTTGCTTTCCTGCTGGTTACTCTATCTCATGCTGCTGCAAAGAAATGATAAACGTTCAACTACCTGTACTCGCATGTGCACTGCTTACAGAAAATGAAGCGCGCACATTTACCACCGAATCTCAGGTTTTCAAGTGACATTTATTAGCTGGAATCAGCCATCTTGGTTTGTTACGCGACTGCTAAGCTGCTAATTGAAAAGCTGATAGAGCGATTTGCAATCGAGTGTCAAAGTAACCCAGGATGTATTTTTTTTAGCTTATCTATGCTCTGTGAATAAGGAGTTTAAAAAAACCACGACTGTAATAGCAACAGGAAAGTCACTAAACAAAAGGTTTAATAATCAGAACAATGGCTGTGCACGTGCGTTAGAAATCTTTGTAAATTTCTTTGCGTTCTTTGCAATGAAGTTTGAGTTGTCTATGGTACGTGAACGACGACATCTAATTCTTTAAATTTATATATCTGATTTAACGCGGTGTTCCATACTCAGTTTCGAGATAGTTCTGACAGTAAGAAACAAACTAAAAGACTTTAGGGGATGGCGAGATTCGTAGGTAAAATATGAGTTCATTTTATAACAGACGTTGTCGACGGCGTTGCCGTCGTCGTTTCCTAAACTCCCTATGGGTGAGAGAGACACGCGCCGCCTTCTGCATATACTGACTGTGTCTTGCATCAGTTGTTTCTTGTGAATTATACATTTGTGTTTTCTTTGTTTGTTTGTTGGTTTGTATTGGTAATAGTTTTTTGCGTATGATCAAGCCGTTTAACTAGGCGACACACGCGGTAAGTTTTGACAGATAATGGTAAATTATGGGAATAAGTGGAAAAATACAGTCGTGATTGGTTCTTTCACTTCTCCTCTCCCACCAGATATCGATGAATGCACTGAGAGGAGGTCTGGTTGCAGTCAAATCTGTGATAATACACCAGGATCATATGTATGTCGCTGTAGAAGAGGTTTTAGACTGGCGGCCGATAAACGATCGTGCATAGGTAAAGTTAAGTGCAATGACCATAATCAGGAGAGATTCAGAGTAGAAGCTATTCACTGCAAATCCTAAACACGTTTGTTCTCGTTCTCTTCCAATAGATGTGAATGAGTGTCTAAATTCTCCATGTTCCGGTAGAGCTACTTGTAGAAATACATTTGGTTCTTTTGTTTGCCAGTGCAAACAAGGATACGAGCTGCTTGCCGATGGACTGACATGTAGAGGTATTGTTTGAAAATGAATGGAAATTTTTTTTATAAAATCGCGCGAAACATCGTGACGCTCAAAACTCACGCTATAACTAACTTCGATCACAATCACTCGACATTCCGCAGAGTTCAGTGGGGTGAATTTTTTTGGGCTTTTATCATTTGACAATAACTGCCTTTGATAAGCCTGAGCCAATTCTTATTGGCTCACATACAATTTGTGCGAATCTAATCAGAGGTCTTGAATAAATTACTGAATGAACCATTTGTAATGGCATTTGTTTCACTTTTGATGGTTTACCAGACAGAAACGAATGCAACAGCGTCACTTGTCCCTACAGATGTGTGAACACCAGAGGAGCATATTACTGTATCTGTCCAAGTGGTTATAGTAACCAGTCCCGCTATTACTGCACAGGTGAGGCGAGCAAAAAGAGAGACTACTGGCTAGATTTTTTTTTTAATGAATAAGCATAAATTATAAAATAATTTAAATAGTTCGCGCGCTCTGATTGGCCATAAAA